CAGAAGCTTCCTCAGCTGTGCGATTCATCTCAGAAGCGCCAGTGTGACTTTCCTCTAAGAACTGCTATGTAGATACCGTAGCCATCCTATTGCAGATGGAGTGTGAATGCGTCCGTCTGCATGGTATGGGGCCCCAGGTCTCTGGAGTGTTGGCCACTGGTCAAGTTCCGGGCTGACTTTGTGTGAATCTCCCCCAAATGAATGCACGATCTGAGCGAGTGTTAGTTCTTTCGTAGCGGAGTGGAATTTAGAGGTGGCCTGTGTGCCGCTGGAATGCAGAATTCGTGTAGTCTGGTGGGTCTCACCTACCTCGTCAAGGCGACAGCTGCTGTGTTTCTTTCTTTTTTACCTTTTTGTCAGGTCTTTGGTGAGCATTCAACTTGGTTTTTATAGAGACGGCTATATTCTCTCACGTAGCACGGGAATGTGCAATACTTACCACCTGGTAGAAGCCAGTACAGCTGGCCAGAAACATCGCGCACTTGGGGTGGGAGGGGGCACACGAGTGAGCTGGTAGGAGAGAAGGTGCGGGCGGGATAGGGTCGGGCCACAAGCATCCGGCATCCATGGGGGCCCCCAGCACGCTTCGAGAAGGGTGGAGGTGTGAGTTCGCCCAGTGGCTCCGTCGACTTCTGCCACAGGAGCCACCAGCCGTGCCACTTCTCCGTTTTCCTCGCCTCTGTCTCCCCGCTGCAGGCGACAGGCAGCATCCCCATCACGGTGCGGCACATCGAGTCCATGATCCGCATGGCAGAGGCCCACGCGCGCATCCACCTGCGCGACTATGTGATAGAGGATGACGTTAGCATGGCCATCCGCGTGATGCTGGAGAGCTTCATCGACACGCAGAAGTTCAGCGTCATGCGCAGCATGAGGAAGGTGGGTGGGAGCTGCGGCGAGGGCCCGTGGGAACATGGCCTGCAGGGGGAGGGGGTGCTGCTCATCACAGGCGGCCACGGTGGGCATCCCGAGGCTCTGGCCCAGACCAGAGCTTTGCTGTCCTTCCCGGCTGCTCTGGCAGGTCGTGACAGGAGTGTGTTAGAAGTGGAGGCCGGTCATCCTGTACTGGTCTCGAGGGTCCTGGTAGGGAAGGGCATCACTGGACTTCGGCTGTTCTCTGCAGACTTTCGCGCGCTACCTCTCGTTCCGGCGAGACAACAACGAGCTCCTGCTGTTCATACTGAAGCAGTTGGTGGCAGAGCAGGTGACATACCAGCGCAACCGCTTTGGGGCCCAGCAGGACACGATCGAAGTTCCTGAGAAGGACTTGGTGGACAAGGTATGGGCACAGAGGGGAGGAAGGGCAGGGCTGCTTCCTGGGGAGCTGTCCATCACCTTTGGGGGCAAGAAGTCCTTGTCTCCTCATTAAGGTGGGCAGGCCTTGGATGGGAGCCATTTATTGAGTGTCCGTGGCATGCTGAGCACCACGCACTTTCACTCTTGACCGTGGCGAAACAAGGTGATGAGGCCGCCATCGCCTCTTACAGACGAGATGGGCACAGTGCGGCTAAGTGACTGAGGAGCTGGTCCCCGCTCACAGGCCATCGGCAGAGCTGAGACTCCAAGCCCTGTGTCTGGCTCCAGACCCTGGCCCAGTCGCCTCTGCTCCACTTGACTGCCACCCTCCCCCCGGCCACGAACGGGCCTTAGAAACTGCGCCAGGACCGAAGGCTGTGCTGCAGACAAGCAGAAGTTCATGCCCACAGCTCACTCTGACGTTTTCTCTTTTTAGGCTCGTCAGATCAATATCCACAACCTGTCTGCTTTTTATGACAGCGAGCTCTTTAGGATGAACAGGTTCAGCCATGACCTGAAACGGAAGATGATCCTTCAGCAGTTCTGAGGCCCGGGGCCAGCGCAGGAGGCTATTGAGACGCCAGCCAGGCAAGCAGACCGGTGCTGCCCTCACACTGCCTGGGGGGCACAGAGCTGACCGCCGAGGGACTTGGGGGAGTGCCGGCACTCGTGGCTGAACTGTCCAGCGTCACCCCCAGTCTCCTGGGCTCAGGCTGGGCTGGGGACGGGGGTGTTTGTTTCATGGGCTCTACTTTCTGCTTCTTGCGCCGTTGTGGGTGGGCACGCTTCGCCAGTGTTCCTCTCTGAACTGCTCGATGGCCCACTGGCTCCCAGAGGTTTGTCTCCACTTCGTTCCGTGGATCATAGTCGCTTGTTTCCAGAGTACTGTGGTCTGTTTTATGTGACTGAGAGTATGAGGGTGTCACGAGGACTGTTGTTGCCTCTTGGTGTGAGTTCCTGTCCTGGGTGCTTCTGCCACTTGTGCCAAAGAGCACGTTGAAGGTATTCCTAGTGTTTTTCTGAAACCAGTCCTGCAGGTTTCTCTGGGCTTCTGTGAGTAGAGAGGATGTGTGGGCAGCAGGGCATGCAACCTGGGGCCAGCACCTTTGGCCTCTGTAACGGCCACAGGGATTGCTCTGGTCTGGTCTAGCCAGGGCTGACTGTCATCCTTGTCGTGTTAATCTGTTTTCTCCTCTTAGGCATTTCCCCGTCATCTTGTACATTCAGTTTTTGTTCTGTAGTTTTAACTTTTAATAAAATGAAATAAAGTCTAAATACTGGTAGCTGCCAGTCTGAATTCTGTCTTAATATAACGCAGGCTTTCCTGCACTTCCCTTGAAGGCCTTTCCCACCTTCCATTTTTGGTGTTCGGTGGGAGGCAGATCTGGCTGTAAGAGCTGTCGTCTTTGTGGATGTGCAAGAAGCAAAATGGTGTGGCTTCTCCCTAGGGAATTCACTTGGCTACTGCTGCCTCTGTGACTTCTGTGGAATCCATGAGAATCGTAGAACAGAGTTGTATACCTGGTGGGGCTGGAGGTAACTTGGCCCTGCCTCCTAACGGAGCAGCACTGTTCATCTCGACAGCGTTGCCACGTGACCTCTACCTGGAAATGCCCAGCTGTGATCAGCTGCCGTCCGGATGCGTGGACACCAACGATTCTTACTGTTTCTTACCTGAGATTTAGCAGAAGTGTCTCCCTTCCATCGTGTCTCTCTTGTCCAAATTTTCCTTTCTGGAAACCGCCAAGATAGTCCTTCGTACGAAAGCCCTGCAGACGTTTGATGAACCTAGTATATTTGGTTCCCTCCCTCAGTCAGTCCCTTCCACAAATCCTGGAAGGGTCTGAGGGGTGTGGCAATACTCCAGTCATCCCTGAGGAACCAGTCAAGTTCTGCAGAACTGAATGGGGGAGAAGAGGGATGAGGAAGTGCCCCTTATGAGGTGAGATCTTTAGGAGAAAGAGGGAACGTGCCAGCCCCAAAGAAAAAGCAGCGGGTGTGGCCGAAGCTTGGGAGCGGGGAGAGTGGGAGCAGGAGCCAGGCCCTTGGGCTTGCAGGCTGAAAGGGAAGCTTTTTCTTTACACAGAGAACACTTCTGACACCAGATGTGAGGGTTCTTCACGCTAGTCAATTCACGGCGGTCCTACACTGGTGCCCTGCGATTTAAGGCCGCTCTGACGCCACCTGGAATCAGCGTGCAGACCTCAGGAGGTAAGGTCTCAGTCCCACAGGCCTGTACCCACTTCAGACACTGGTTGCAAGTCGTGGGTCCCCAGGTCTACACTTCTGTCCAGCTTGGCTACATATCGCAGGTTCCTGTGCCCCCCTCCTCAGGTTTGATAATTTGCTGCAATAGCTCACGGAAGCCAGGGCAGCAGTGTACGTACGATGACCAGCTTCTTACAAAGGACATACTGAAGGACGCAAATGAACAGATGGAGAGAGAATACGTAGGGTGAGGTCCCGAAGAGTCCTGAGCACAGGAGCCTCTGTCCCTGTGGAGTTTGGGGTGCCCCACACTCCGGGCACACGAATGTGTTCTTGTTCACCAACCCAGATGTTCGAACCCCTTCAGTCAGGGGTTTTTATGGAGGCTTTATTACATTGGCATAATGGTTAAACCATCGGCTATTAGTGATTAGCTCAACCTCCAGCCCCTCTCCCCTCCCCAGAGGTCAGGGGCTGGGACTGCTCCTTCCAACGCGCTAATCCCATGGTTCCCATGACAACCAGGCCCCATCCTTAGAGGCTTTCCAAAAGTCCCCTCCTTCAAACTATGGTATAGTTGAAAGGGCTTGTTAGGAAAAAGTAAAGGCATTCTTTTCACCTTTATTACTTGGAGCTTCAGAAGCCAAGATAAAAGCCAAATATTAGAACAAGATGCTCTTTTCCTCTTGTCACTTAGGGGATGACAAAGACATTGAGCTCTCTGACCAGGACTGGGGAAGAAGATAAAATATATACACTATACATAGTTGTGTTCTATCGAAACCCAGATTAGGGATCTAAATTTTTTTCATGGAGATATAATTGACATACCACGTTCTATTCATTTCAGACGTGCAGCATAATGATTTGATAATTTGTACATATTGCAGAGTGATCACAATAAATCTAGTTAACATCCATCACCCCACATGGCTACAAAAATTATTTTTTCTTGTGATGAGAAATTTTAAGGTCTCTTTTTACTCTCTTAGCAACAATTAAATGCATAAGACAGCACAGTTAACTATAGTCACCGTGCTGTACTGTATATTTCTATAACATTACAGAACAGTACCACACAGGCCTGATAAGGGCTCGAGTCTGGCTGGAGTAGCCAGCCCTTGAGGGGTGGTGAGCAGGAGACTAACACGGTGTATTTTACAGGGGGCTCCTGGCCACTGTCGACTCCTACAGGGAGAAAGGAAGAAGAATTAGTGGCATAGAAGGCTCTGGCGCTGTCTGTGGATGGCAGTGGTCTGAACTAGGGGATGGGGGATGGATTTTGCAGGTAGGTTTGATAAGACTCAGGGATGCATAAGAAGTGGGAGTGGGAGAAAAGAAACCGTTTCTAGCTTGAGAAACAGGTAGAGGTTTAGTGGAGAACCAAGAGCTTCACTGTTGGCATGTTGGCTACGAACGCGTTGTAGCTATCCAGGTAACTGTGAACTTTGCAGGCTGACTTGAGCCTGGACTGCTGATAGATGTTCCGGCAGGAGCTGTAATCATCTGACAGCTGTCACCATGGGGCCGGGCGTAATCACCCAGCAGAGCGCAGCAAGACACGAGCACCCAAGGAGACTCAAGGGCCCGTTATCTGAACCAGCAAAGGACACTTCAGAGTGGGCAGAAGGCGGGAGGAAAATGAGAGGAAGGGTGGTTATGGAAGCCAGAAGAAAGCAATTGAAGAGGGTTGAGGTCATTTGGGGCCAACATAGCTGTAAGTTTGGGTAAAATGACAGGCCTGTCCCCCGTAACCAAGTTTCATTGCATCTAAGATGCCATCTATTATAAAAATCACCATTATTGTACGTGCTGCTAAGACAAAAATGCTAACGTTTAGAAAGATTAGATGCTGTCAACTGTAACACATCGCAGCTTAGAGGTGCTGGGGGATTGTTTCCAACGTGCTTCTTAAGTGGAAATAGGGTATTTGTGGTAAGGCGGAGGCTGCTGTTCACCTTGAGGAGCGGTTTCAATGTACCGCTCTGTTTGTAGAATAAAGGGCAGGTTAGCGATAAGGAATACAAGTTGTGTATCTGGAAAAGTCTTGAGAAGTTTGGCTCTGAAGGGGGAGCATGGAAATGGGCAGCTGGCAAGGCATATGGGATCAAGGGAATGCTTTTCCTGTCGTGTTTATGTATTTAAAAAAATTTTTTTTTAATGTTTGTTTTTGAGAGAGCGAGAGAGAGCACGAGTGGGGGAGGGGCAGAGAAAGTGGGAGACACAGAATCGGAAGCAGGCTCCAGGCTCTGAGCTGTCAGCACAGAGCCCACCATGGGGCTCGAACTCATGAGCTGAGCTGAAGATGGGATGCTCGACTGACTGAGCCACCCAGGCACCCCGTGTTTATGTATTTTATAACGGGACGATTAAAGTTTGTATTTGTGCAATGAGAGTTTACTAATGGATTAATTGGAAAGGTAACTGAGTGAAAAAATAAAATGCTAGAGGATCCCATATATGTGAAATTTAAAAGTATACTGATACTATGTACTGTTTATGTGTATATGTGTGTTAAAAATAATACAAAATGTATGGGTCACCTGGGTGTCTCAGTCAATTAAACAGCCGACTCTTAATTTCAGCTCAGGTCTTGATTTCACGGCTCAGTTTGTGGGATTGAGCCCTATGATGGGCTTTGTGCTGACAGCGCGGAGCCTGTTTGGGATTGATTCTCTCTCTTCTCTCTGGTTCTCCCTGCCCCCCCACCTCCGCTGCCACCAAATAAATAAATAAACTTAAAAAATTCTATAAAAGAAATTATATGAAACGTCTGCTTCTATGTTCTTGTGGTTTTTTTTTAAATAATGGGTTTATTGAGATAGAATTTACATACCATATGATTTTAAAATGTACAGTCCAATGGTTTGAACATTTAGAATTGTATAACCATCATCAAAATCAATTTTAGAACGTTTTCATTACCCCCCCCCCAACACCCATACCTGTTAACAGTCACTCCCCTCTTGTTCACCCCCACTCCCTAGCCCTGGGGAAAGACAAGCCTACTCTCTGTGTCTATGGTATGCCTCTTCTGGACATTTCATATAAATGGAATCTTAACAATACATGGTCTTTTGTGATGGGCCACTTCCACTCTGTTTTTATGTACCATCCCTGTCATAGCCTGTGTCAGCACTTTATTCCTTTTTATGGCTGAATAACATTGCGTTGTTACTTATCTGCTCATTAATATTTTATTTATTTATTTATTTATTATTTTATTTATCTGCTCATTAGTCGAGCATTTGGGTTGGCTCCACCTTATCAATTATGAGTCATGCTACCATTAACAATCCTGTAACAAGTTTTATATGGACACATAAAACATGTGTTCTC